GCGACGAGGTCCAAGTGAAAATCGTCAGTCATCAACGTTGATACATCAGGCTGAGTGAGGATCTGCGCAGACGTCACTGTAGCTGAAACCGGCCATTTCTTGCGACGAACATCGGGTATGATGATCGGCTGCTCATCATACAGGCCCAGCTCTGTAGCGGGAACAATCTCGGCTGAGAAAGTTCTTGTAGTCTGCGTTGGTTTCTTGGTAGACTCTGCCCTGGGGGTGCGAAGTCTGCGCTGAGAAGTCGATGCCTTCTTGGTCTTAGGCTGCGACGACGGGATGTCTGGTGATGCAGGACGCTTCTTGGAGACGGCGGACTGCATCCCACGCCTCTTCTCCGAAGGCAACTCTAGCGGAACACCAGACGGTAGGGGGGTCATCCGACACCAGTTGACTTGACAAAGACTCAGCTGCATTATCCATGCATGGATTAGACTTGCGTGACCTATATGCTGCGCGTCTCAAGACGCAAAGTAAATATTTGTTAAAAGCAGAATTAGATAGATTATTACAATTACTGCAAGGTGAACTGAATGAACATGGTACAGTACAACTAGGGCATCTTAAATGCGGATCAGCAGCAGATAAACTTGCAAACAGTACAGATTTTCATGAACGTAACCTACTGAACAATCATGGCATACACCGCGAATAAACAGCAGTAAATACAAGTATCAAATCATATTGTTGAAGGTACTAGCTAAACCTCTATAAGATACGTGTAGAGGTAACTAAGTAAGAAAAATCAAAGGATATAGTGCTGTAGGGAGACACAGGCGCTCTCACATCCTGCTCACTGGGCGAGGAAGGAGAGAGTGAAGCATGTGGCAAAGAGGGGCAACTCTTGGTGAGTAGTGATTAGTGATTTTACGCATGTTTCAATTGAAGGGAGCTTCAATAGGGAGATACAAGTGTTCCACTATGTTCGCAAGAAGAAGAAGACAAGCAAAAGAGCATGAGTCAGGATATGGAAAAATTATAATCTTCAATAACCTCGAAACCATTACATTTAATTCAATCAATGTGCATAAGAAGTAATTTATTATCCATTCCCAATGAAGAGTACCAGACACTTACCTCTGTAAAAACATCATAATCCCCTTTCTTGCCGACATGTGTTCATTTGCCAGACGCTGTTTAAGCCTATGATAATGATTAGCAATTGCTATCAAAACACTTTAAATACTAATATTTGCTCCATACTACTAAATCGGTTTAAATAATAGGTACAGTGCGATTTTTAAAAGTACGACAGACATGTGCGACGCTCGCTGAATAAGAGGTGCTTTCTGTTGACGAATATATGTGGCTCTCGCTCTGAGAAACTGCCAATTACCTGCCCCATAAACACGTCACTCGCTGTGAGGAGCTGATTAATTTGCCCCATATATGCGTCTCTCTGCCTTAATGAGTTAAGGATGTCACTGATGATTTCTTTTCAGGTTAACAGTACTTTGGATGACGTCATGATGATGTCATGTACTCTCTGTATCTCATCCACTCCAGGAAGACCAGTGTTATCCCTGATTGGACTCCCTCCTAAGTTTAGCCCTTAACTACCATTTGAGGCTGCAGCAAAAGAGGATCACAACAATCAACATGAGGTCCAAACCTAAGGTGGTCTCACCCTCAGTGATGACTGTATAACTCCATTTCCTTACGTATCTCTTCTTGAAAAACAAACATGTAAGGCCTGGTCGGCAAGCATGTTCTCCAAATCATGGAGAAGATAAAAGCTACCCAGATAACAAAGGTGTGTTGGGCCAATGTTGGTATATGGTTGGTTGGTTGGCCAACAGTTTGACAACATTGGCCCAACGTTATCTTATTGACTCAAAAGTAACGGTGGCCTTTGACACGCTGGTCCAACAGTGGGCCAACATTTGAAAAACTCCCGATTTTTCCTGATCTTACATCTATTTCACAAAGTTGGGCCACCGTTGCCCAAACAGTGTGAATAAAAGAGTGAGCACACAGACATTTTTAGCAATGTTTTCTTATAAAGATTTTGATGAAAGTTGAAATAATTACACAGACAAAAAGAAGAATCCATTGCCTTATTTGTGAAGTCCTGATTCTTGGTGGATAAGATTTTGAATTTGTCAAACCAGCCCCCTAAAACTAAGTTTGGCGTCATCTCAACCCTGATCAACCACGCTAAGAACATTGCTCCAGCAGCCATGACCTAGAACATGAGCGGAACCACCTACAACATGCCTCAACCAGTAACCCACCAACTCATAGGCTGTTTGATTTCATTTGAGACCAATGAATTGCTCACTAACACAAAATCTAATAATTGCAACAAAACCAAATTTTGCAGTCACATGAAAACGACAGACCAATGAAGAATTAATCAAACTATAGACTCTATCAAAGCACCCTATCAGCTTGTTGTTACAACTGAATCCCCACTTGTTTATTGGCTTCATCACCATTCCATTTGTTGTTCTTAGTCCCAATCTGGCCTCTCCCAATAATGCACCAGTTGTTACTCAATTACATGTTGTTAATGTCAATCTGCTGATTGTCAGAACATACTACGCATACTTCTCATCATTTGGCTTTAGCTTGATAACGGTGTAAGAATCTACATCCGAACGTCACTCTGTGCAATAAACAAGAAGTTTTCAATCATTAAGTTGTATGTTTCAAATAAAACATAAGGTCAAATAATATGTCCTTTTACGATAGTTCTCATGTCTAAAATTATGATATCTGACAGTTTCATGAAATATTTGGGTTGTCTTTTTCAGGAGCAGTTCGAGAAAAACCTGTCAGCAGCGACAGCCAAAAGACAAGAATATTTTCAAGAAATGAAATAATGTTCAAATAACAAAGAAGAAAAAGAATTAAATAGTTCACTTGATTAACTTGTGTTGTTTATATATGTTTCTGATTGCAGAGGTCAGGAAAGAGCTAAATGTTGAAATACAGTTGTGCCAACATAAGGCCAACTAAATCACATCGTTGGGCCAAGTATGGGCCATGGTTTAGTACAAAGGTCAAGAAAGAGCTGAATGTTGTAACACGGTGGTGCCAACATAAGGCCAACAAAATTACTACGTTAAGCCAACTATGGGCCATGGTTCTGTGTGAATTTTCATTCTTCGGCCCAACAATCAGCCAACATGATTGACCAACGTGGACCCGATGAGCATATCCAAATGGGCCCATCGTCAGTTTGCCAACCATGGGCCAACCAAACTGGTGATTATGGGTGAAATAATAACCGCCAAGCGAGTGGTTCGCTGTGATAACCACCTCGAGGGAACCGAGAAGTGATTATCGAAGCGAATCACGAGCTTAAGGCTGTTATTTCGCATATACCACAAGGTCAAAAACATACTTATTTTAGTTGAATTATAATTAACTGCAATGTTCCGAAGCTACAATGAGATAAATGTTTTGAAAGGTTCTGTATTTTTTTACCGAAGATGTTTCCAGTAAAACATTGATGTAGAGGCATAGGGTTTACAAACCCAATATTCTGAGGAAAAAGTTCTTCTCGAGGTGCAATACCGGGAAAAAGGTGAGGCGAAAAATAATAGCTGTCTCCTACACAGAATTCAATGTATGGAAAACACACTGTTGGCGAGATTTGTAACGAAATGTACAAAACTAAGTAAAGACTATGTTAATAACGAACAAATATGAAAAGGCATTCGCAGTCTCCTACATAGACATCAGTGATATATTGAAAAAATAAAAATTTAACAGAGCAGTTTTTGTTCATTTTCTCTCGGGAGTGTTAAAAATACAAACAAGCTTAACAAACGCCATTCAACCCTTGAAATTGACAATGATTTTCAAAGATCTCGCATTGTATGCCAGGTAAGTGTGCGAGATACGTTGCTGCACCAGAATCTTGTGCAAGTCGAGCAATTAACAATCACGTGCAATGCAAAACCACATGATTTAAGCTGACAGTGTTATACAAGCCATCACAGCAAATGAATTCGACATGGAGGTGCTTTTGGCTTCTCAGAGAGCTGCTCTGACTCTGTTCCAGGCCCGGCGTGGATTTTGAAGCAAACTGGTCATGTGGTAAGTATCGTACCCTACATAACATTGTCTATATCTGTACTTTTACTCAGTTGAAGCGTGGTGTTGTTCTTCCATTTTGTTCTAGGAAGGTGCGACCCGTGAACGTCTGGGAAAGAGTTCAGCCCGTATCCCCCTCTTTTTACCTAGTATATTTGCTCCAGGAGGAATCCTTCCCCGGTGTATTATTCCAAAACTGAAATAAGTTCATTGATTGTTTTTTACATCTGTTCTAGTTTATTGAATGTATATTTAGGGTGAGGTATGCATGTTGCTTTGTAATTTTGGTTTTTCATGGGGGTGGGGGGTACAGGCGGAACTCTTTCCGCTCGCTGACTTGGTTGACACATGTCATCGGTTCCCAATTGAGCAGATCGATGCTCATGCTGTTGATCACTGGATTGTCTGGTCCAGACTCGATTATTTACAGACCGCCGCAATATAGCTGGAATATTGCTGAATTCGGCTTATAACTTAACTCACTTACTCACTTGGAAGGTGAGGTGGGTGGGTAGTGGGTGTCATCAATTTTCTTCACATGTACTGGGGGTCTGCAAGTTTGTGAAAATATTTTTAAAAATGCTGAGAAATTATAGGAAGAGGGAGGTGGGGTCAATGATTTAGTACATAATATGCAGGGGGTTACTTACTTTGTCCATAATTTTTAGGGTGGTTCGGTAGGGGATTATTCACCTTGTACTTGCTTATCCACAAAACTCATCTTCACCCCCACTAGCCATAAATTTTGAATGGTCCCAAGGGTACCCTTGAATTGGGCTTAAATTGGGTTGGGAAATTGAGTTGCCAGCACGACAGCATGAATTTGGGAAGTTATCTGATTGTTGAGAGTACCATTGGTTATTATACCACTGTTGCAGGTGTGCGGACGTAAAGGGAAGTAAATGAAGACCACATGAAGATGGTCAGCATCATTCTCATAAGTAACAAGCCAAAAACAGAGGACGTACGATGCAAAGCGGAACACAATGCTTCAACTCCAGAAGTATGTTTTCTTTCTCTCAGTGGAAACATAATTTTAGGGAATAAACATTCTCAATACTAACTCTTCTAATGAAATTAAACATTATTGGTCAGGGGAAATTGCACTGTTTATAGGCCAGAGTGCCCTACCGCCTTCCCATTCCATTGGTTATCTGTTTGTACTAAACCCAAGTCTATTGGTATTCGAGAAACTTGCTTGATACTGATGCATGTAATTTGTTGGTAGACGTCATTTTCACATTAACAGAATGTATCTTAAAATTAATCATTGGGGTAAATCAAATTATTCATTACAAAAATACCATGAGCATCCTGTTTAAATAACTATTTCATTTTTTTCAGATTATTCAAGTGACCCTGTGGAGAATCGAAAGGTGGAAGGAGGTCCCGCCGCTTCCAATTTATTAATTGCAGTGTGCAGATATTGTAAAAAATAAATAAAAATATTTTAATGGTTCTGTATTTTTGTATTCAATATGTTTCCAACAAAAACATTGAGGTAGAGGCATAGGGTTGTCAAACCCGCTATGCCAAGGGAAAAGTTCTTCTCAAGGTGCGATACCGGGAAGAAGGTGAGGCGAAGCCGAGCCTTGTTCCCGGTATCGCACCGAGAGTTGGTCGGATAACCGCCCTAGGGGGTTATATGATAACCAGCCTAGGGGGTTATATGATAACCAACCTCTGGACAAGGTTGGTTATCCGATAACCAACCCCTTGAGAGGTGGTTCACAAAAAAAGAATAACCCAAGATATTGACCCGATAATCAACCCACGTGGTATGGGCCAACTATGGGCCAACATACCAATGATATCTGGGTAGGTGGTAAGGATATACTAGGCAACAACTATAGACCCTAGCTTGTACAATCCTTGCAAGTCTTGGGCTCCATCTCTCAGATAAAATGTGGTAAATGTGTTTGACAATGCCCACTGACAAGCTGACAAGACCTGTTCAATGATACTGTCTTCCATTAGGCAATGGATGATGCAATGGCTCTAATCACATGTGGCCAGAGGACCAATAGGAGGGAGGTTGCACATCCACCATGGCATAGGTTACATCTGTCAGACTGTTCCCAGCAAGATATCCATACCTGTGACGCCTAGATACCTTAGCCACACTACAGGCTGCCCCTACTTAGTGAGGTTTCCTACGTCAGTTTGTGTTGATAGTTTTCTTGGGGGTTCATTCCTCAATTTTTTTTTTTTAAATTTTTATTCTGAGTAGTTGGTTACGTTTGTTGAGGAAATCTTTTTTCTTATGATAAATAAGTTGGTTTCAGATCACTTCAGCTCCCTGGACTTTGCACAAACCATTATGACATTTCACTCCAATACCGCATATAACACGTGTAGTTCACGAAACCCTTTCTGATAGACATCATGTGTATCCCGCAATACTGGCGACATTTCTTGCCACAAGTCTCGGCTTTTCCCAGAAGCACGTATTTGCAATGCTACAGAGCGGGTCTCATCTTCGCTATATGCACTTAGATATACGTTAGTCTAATTGATTGACGCTCAAACACGGTCGAGGCTAACCCTAATGCCACAAAGGTCAACTCACGGCCTTTCAGTTCCGGGGAAGGCGGGTAATGATGTGAGAGAGCGGGTTCGTCGCCGAGAGGTGCGAGTCGTTTGCCGGTGACGAGACAATACACATGCATGGCTTCGTCCACGTCCTTAAACGTTCACATGGCGTGACCTTCTCATTGGAGTTGGTTGTGGATAAAATCTATTCTCTGCATGTGTTTTTTTGCGTATTCGGCATGTGCGGCTTGTAATTTCTCGATGGCTAAATCATGACGTTTCCGTTCCACTTCTATTTCAGCAGCATTGGGATCTCGTAGATAAGACAAAAAGGTCATTGCGACCCCGATGAGGCTAGGCCGTTGACTAAAGCCCCATCAACCATCAAGGCAATCGTGGCCATTTATATTGTATATATAATGGCTCTTACTTCAAAATGTTTTCCGGAATGATCCCTTGCTTGATGAGCATATCTTTGGTGACCATCGGCAGTCCCAAATCTAGGACGAGCATGCCCATGTTGTACGCGTTGAGTGAGGGAGTATAGTTTTACACGGCACTCACGTAAGCGTTGAAATCGAGTTTGGGAGTTGGTTGTTCTGTGATCATTTGACTTAAACGCACGGTGGCTAGACCGCTGACCATGCTGGAGTGATATGCATCGTTGACAAATGTTTTTCCGTCAGCGGTAGACATAATCATAATATAACTTGTGGGTTTACCTCTGTTAATTGTCTTTCTGCAAAACTTGGCAGGTATGTGAGGCAGATGCCAAAGTGGTGCCTTTTGCTAATTGCAGATTTTTGTGATTTATTATTTTCTCGGTTTCCATGGAAATGATTCAGACTTAGTCTCAAAAGGTACGGGTGGGTTTCGTTTCCGGAGCACAACTCAAAAACTTCTTAATATCTTTCAGTAAATCTTGGCAGATGTGAGGCAGGTCCCAAAGTGGTGCCTTTTGCTATTGGCAGATTTTTGTCATTTTAATTTTTCTCGGTTTCCATGGAAATGATTCAGACTTAGTCCCAAAACGGCGAGGTAGGTTTCATTTCCGGAGCACAATTCAAAAACTTCTTAATATCTTTTAGTAAAACTTGGCAGATATGTGAGGCAGATCTTGAAGTGGTGCGTTTTGCTTTTTGCAGATTTTTGTCTTTTATTTTTTTCATGATTTTCATGGAAACGATTTGCACTTAGTCTAAAATCAAGCTGGACTTCCAGTAACTGTCAGATGATTTAATCTTTCAAAGATGTGGGGGCCGGGGGGATATGTCATCTTCTGATGACTCTTGTTTTGTTTATATAACCATACAGCTGTGGTGATACCAATGAAAGTGGGTATTGATCGGTTTATGATGATGCCTAGCTACCCCCCAATTTTTACTGACAGCTACTTTTTTCGGATGCTTGGGTTTCTTTATTACGGTATCAATCACTTGGGGGTCTCCTCCGCAGGTGTCAAGGTTGTTCAGTGTTCGCCTCCATCATCTTGTATATTATTAGTGAAACATTTATGTTGTTTGATCCCCAGGGAGCTGAGATTGATAATACATTGTGCCGTGTGAGACTGACATCCAATGATCGAGGGAAAACAAAGCACCTTTGAGCAGGTGATCTGGATATTGGCGATAGATAGATAGATAGATAGATAGATAGATAGATAGATAGATAGATAGATAGATAGATAGATAGATAGATAGATAGATAGATAGATAGATAGATAGATAGATAGATAGACAATGCTTCGCTGTAATGATTGCTGCGGATACGGGAGCTAAGAACATACCGTATCGGTGATACAACTCACAACTGAGGGTGTTCAAGGCGTGACAGATACATTGATCCACGTCAAAATCTTCGCACAAATAAAGTCGACATTCCGGTGGAATGGGAAGCAGAGACGAAGCTATAACGGCGTAAAATTGTGTTATAGATGACTCGATGGTTTTCGTCATTTCAGCACTGAATCGGGCTTCATATCTTGCGTACAGTTTGTTGATGTCTCCATTGGACATTCTATAAATTTTATCGATGGTGATGTTTTCACCCAAGTATTGTTTCCCCTTCCTACCCACAGCGAGGAACACGAGTCTTTCCTGTTTATCCCTGACGTGGGAGGATACATCTTCACCCTCCTCCTCGGATATCATTTGGTCGACCATGTTGTCCATCTTATACTACATCAATCTTTTTTTAAATCTAATTTAATAAAACAGAACAATATGAATTTCAAACGTTGTCATGGTTTTTATATAATGGTTATACATTCAATTTGCTTGATTTTGCTTGAACTTGTTGCTTACCTAACACACCGCATAAGCCACGGGTTGGTCTGTTTTGAGCACGAGTTCAGAGTGTTTTGTTTCGGCTAACAATGTTCTCATGCGTTCCCACTCGGGTTTGGTGGGAATCACGTCGTTTCCTCTTAAACATTCCTTGAACGAATTCCTTTCCTTGCAGTGAAATAAGGCGACCCATCGCGACTATTCCCTGAGGTCTTTCAGGATCGAGTTGAATTTTTGCGCGAGGACCCAAACGCTGTGTTTCATATGACGTCCTTAAATAGCTAAATATGATAAAATATCTCTCTTTTTGGTGATCTCTTTATTCGTGCTGCAATCGTCACAGCGTTGATTCTCCCTCAAACTTCTCGTGAAAGGCTTGCAACCATTCCTGTAAACATACTCCCGGGTCAATTTATACACCTCTGCGTCGTTCATCACCCACCGATCTCTCAGTGTACGTTTTATTGACGCGTATAGTAGGGCAAAGAATTACAATATGATCGAACACATCCCAATAATACCCTTCCAGCATATCCAATACAAAAAGGGTCTTCCCACACACAATGGCGCAATGTGGCTCCAGGGGCAGCTCAATATCGAACTTGATAAATGGCTCACACAAATCTTCTATCTTGTATATTAAGCTGCACATCCATAATCACGTACAAATATAGGTTTGATTTACCGGCGGTTTCAGCCTTCTTGGTGATTTGGATCGTAATCCCTTCGCTTCCGTTGTCGATGTGACGCCCGCTCCCGTGAAGATGATCATTGTCCGCATTGTCGTGGCTTGCATGTCCAGCCACAACGCGTCCTTGGTCGTAAGGTATTTTGTCCTAGCGTCACGAAGGCGAGACCGAGATCCTTGACGATCGCGTTGATTTCCGGTGGGCACTTGATCGTCGGTAATTTTTGGAACTCGTCCCACTGCTGGTAAGCTCTCATGCCTTGGATAAAGAGTTAATTGGGCACGCCCTCGACGGTCACTTCCACTTTCGTAATCTCGGGGTTCCAATATTTTTCGACAAAATATTTCCGCGAAGACCGCTAAGGTTTACAAACAGTGCGGACTGAGCTGGGTGCCACGGCGAGTGCGATCGATCGAAACGGTGATTTTTCGTTGAATCTTTCAAAATATCGATGGTATAGCTGCCGATGGTATCTGTAACAACAACATGGCCATAATCGTTTAACGTGAGTTTGTATTCCAGCCTATCTCCCAGCACGGCTTGGTAAAACAGCATGTAACCCTCCAGTAGTTCCAAATTGAGTGGAATGCACAATCGGTTCCTGAATGCCTCAGCTATAGCCTTACAGCGGAGAGATTGGCTTGTTCAAAAGTATACCCCACACGCAACCGAGTCGATGGATAATCGGTTAGACAAATGCCTTGGTATGTCATGTTTTCCCATTCGCTCTCCAGAGGTTTGTGTAACTGAAAAACACATCGCTGTCGGCGATGCTCAGGATCTCGTTCCCACTTATTTTTATCGTATTTTTTACACGATGGTTCGATTTCTCTTTGTTGGAATCCAAAGTGATCTGAAAAGACAAGCGAGCCGTCCCGGGGACGATGACGTCGTTCATGCCCAGATTAGGAAAGCGCACCAACAGCATTTCACTTTCATCGATCGTACTTGGATTACTGGTTATAACACGCAATGATGAATGGCTTTGACCACCAGGGGTTCCCTCAATCTTCAGAAAGGGTTTAGTGTTTGTCGACGACATCGTGTATATTGAAAGTGATTTTTTATATCTTTACAACGATTTGATAGAGTTGATAGAACCCTCGATGAACAAGCCGACAACTCATTAACGGGTGAAAGCATAGGCGATACCCTGTTAAAGACGACCGCGGATGATTATTACGATACCCTAAAATGAAAGGAAAACCTCGCTCCCCTTTATCGCAAGTATTCGAAATCGATGATCGGGGATGCTGCGACTGAAAGGTGCTCCGGACCTTGATCTCATGCATACCCGAACAAGAAAACACCTCGCCTTCTCCAGGCTGGCCAATCGCCACGGTGCCCACTTTATCCACGACAAATTAATTATAGCCGGTTATCGTCAAAATATTTCCACTAAGACGGCTAAGGTTTGACAGACAGTGAAGACCGAGCTGAGTGCCACGGTGAGTGCGGTCGATTGAAACGATGATTTGAGAGACGTGCCGCAACGCGCTCAAGAAGCATCAAACAAAATCGACAAAATATTGACCACCAGGTGTCGTTCAGGAACTGCGAGGGCTAGACAAGGCCTTACAAACCATTCGTGGATCGCTCGTGGACAATATGGCCAAAATGAAAGAACTCGACAATCGTATCGCTTACAAGACAACAAAACTCGAAGAAGCGGATGATGATGAGCCGAGCCACTCACTGCGAAAGATGCGAATCAAATAGCTAAGGCACTGGAACGTATCTACAAACGAAGCCCTTTCATGTGGTCTACCGAATTACAAGTTGATCCCGGGCGTGACTTCATGGGTTCCGTGTCACAGATGTTATCTAAACACGAGGTCGAAGTCAGGCGCCTGACGGTGGGAGCCCATCGCAGCCAAGCCACCATTGAGAGCTTTAACCGCACCTTAGCCGAGCGTTTGTTTGGAGACCAGTACGCTCATGAGACGGTGACACCCGAAAAACGATCGACAGAATGGGTGACCCATTTATCTCGAGTGGTGTCAGCGATCAACAGCGAAGTGACGCGACTTATCTACAAAAAACCTGTCTAGGCCATTAAAATGAAATCCATGATGGCTGAATCAGCCGCACCACTATCCAAGCGTAAAAAAACGACAAAATACTATCGGATCAGCGTGAAGAATTTGTACCAACCCGGTGAACTCGAGGGAGAGGGGATCAATGTGCCACGGACCCTGTATGGTCAGTCAGAACGTACCACATTGATCGGGTGGACATCAAAGAAAATGAACTCTCTTTGTATTACTTGAAAGACAGACCAGGTAGGGGATTCGTACGAGAAGAAATGCTCGTCGTACGCCACGATACGGTATTACTCCATTATTATTTATCATCATGTGGAGATTGATCGAGAAACAGTTGTTCAGGAAGCATCGGGGTGGACGTCGATAGACTCAGCACTACGTCGAGTGATTCGTCGAGAGCAATTCAAGACCCTGTACATAGTTTAGGTCTTGGGGCTACCGAACGGTTACAAGGTCTCATGGATACTTTAGTCGATTATAGCCTTGAGACCAGAGAACGCACTGCCCCATGCTCGACCTACTCCTTAGCCTACTTCGATAAGTTTATGGCAGACCCCATCCATGGCATTGTCGCTCAATACTACGGCTACGTTTAAAACAAGGACACATCCAATGATGGTCCGCCATCAAACACACCGGTTTTTCACCATTGATGGGGGATGCTTCAGACATAAATAACACTATAGAACATAACTGCTGCAGGAACCCCTTCCTAATACTTCTTGTCACAATTATATCCATTCTCAAGTGTACTCTCCGAAAACACATACATTTCCATTTCAAACAAATAATTGCAGTATTATTCTTGTTAATTCTCAGAAAAAATGTACCGCAGAATGCAAAATGTCATCAGGGAGCCTATTGGCACCTGTGCAACCTGTTGAAAATAAATAATAGTCATCACTGCATATAATACTAACAATACTACTTCTATTACACATGTTACAAAACTGAAGTTTAGTTTTAGTAACACTTCAGTTACAAATTCATGATTATGGGAACGGTGTAACAGGTTGGGGTTGTACAAAAATAATACCTACATTTGACAAGCAACTCCACAGTCTGGGTGACAGGTGCCCCCGATGTTGTTAGTGGCAGTACAGGAGTAGTTCCCTCTTTGTCTACAGTCTGCTGACTCCAGTCTGTATGTTGCTGTCAGAAAGTTATCTTCCCTTGTCAACTCCTCAGTTCCATTCAGTATCCTGATGACTGACCTTGGATTACTGTCAACCTGGCAGCTCAATGTGGCTTGATCCGATTCGTTAACTGTGACTGAACGACTAAGCGAGTTGACCGTAAAGATAGTTATGTTGACAGGATCTGAAATTAAAACCCAATAGAATATTAACATGAAAAACTTCAATTTTGAGACCTATAACTAAACTAAACAGTCATTGTGATAAACAGCTACATAAAGGATCAGAATCCCAGATAGCATTCAGACGTTGGCGAATTCAGACTAATTCCTCTGAGAAAAACTGCCTGGATTACTGCAAATTTAGACATGGCTCCATCAGCATTTTTGTTCATTATTATTCAACAACATTTACACTGAACTAAACCTTTTCATCACAGGTCTCCATCCAAGTAAAGTCATACTGTTAGTCTTTGCTTTCTGCAGAAAAGGTTGAACTTCAAACAAGCCATGGTAGATTTAATTTCATCAAACACATGAAGTTAAGATTCACTGGTCCTTATTACTTTTCAATGAAACATAAAACAAGGTGTGCATAATGACAATGCTCATTCCTAATACATAATATTTACAATCCAAAAAACACACTCTTTAGCAATGACATATGCACTGGCAGAAGCATTATATTTGCTTGAAAAACAAATGGAAAAGTTATAAGCTTTTTAGAAAGATGAGCATTGGGAAGGTGTGTATTTTAATCAACAATATATGTTGCTCTGCACATCATTTATTATCTGACTCTGATTATGCATTTAAATCATGGAACAAGGCTGACATGCACTGACAAAATTGAAAAAGGACAACTTTGGTTTTATGAAAGGCATCTTATTTCAGGCATCAATGGGCATCATGCTTCCAAAGGGAACAACTCTCCCCTTCTAAAAACCCTGTTATCTGAACAAATGATTGATTAAAAATTTGCATATCAAGGAACACTGAAATAAAAAGTATAAAGTAGGTAAATCATCCGCCTGTTACAGTTCAGTCTCTACTGTGATACACATGATGAACCAATATCTGATCCTGATAAGATGTACAGAAAACTTTATCATTACCAAACTGGCCTGTGTTAACACTTAAGTACTGTCGGAAATGCTAGAAAAATCCTTTTTAGCCTTAATATCTTTATAAAGGTGATAAACGAACTATGTTGTCAATATATCAACTCGCCTATTGTCTACCTAATTTTTATTGCAATCGATTTAACATTCCCATGCATTTAAAGGGCAGTTTACAGGAGAGAATTTGGTACCAAAACAGCAACTTAAGATTTTTTCAGAGTTCAACAACAGAAATCTGAAATAGTCTTTACATTTATGCTCATAATACAGGTGGTGTAAAAATATGAATTAAGGTTTTTCCTGAACAAATAAATGTTGAATGTTTGTGTTACTTTGCTTAATTATCGTTTTCTTTATTGAAGAAATATTCATATAAATGTTAAGTCTTGATAAATAAGTTTCCCGTCATGCATGCACATCTTTATCACAACGTCCACTATGGCCAACGATTTGCAGTCGATTGTTGCAAAGGTTTATAGTTTTTTTCTGCTTAAAAAAGACAGAGGTAAACCTTTCATTAGATTAGAAAGGGTTAATTACAGAACGTGTAGAGCTGTTGGCATGTCTTACCAACAAGTTTACAATATTGTAAACAAATCAGATAAGACAGGGAGCGTCTCAAATGCAAAACCGGGACGTAAAACCATCCTTGACAACTTTGACAAGGGAGTGCTTAGACGGGCAGTCTACAAACTTTATGAGAAGAAAAATATACATATTCTAAAGAAGCCCGACCAGTGACTTCGTTAAATCTTTGGCCAATGTTCAAAAATAGATTAAACTGACCGAATTACATCCATATTTTTTCATTGAAATAAGCTGTTGACATGCAAAACATTTATTAAAACGTTGCACATTTCTACAATCAATGGATAAAATAACACAAGTGATAGGATTCTTTCCAATGTACAGTAATTCGTATTTTTGTTTCAAAACAAACACACATACACAAATGATCCCTTACATAACTGAAACGTATACTATACATACACATATTCAACATTTTGCAGAAAACATCTATTGAGATAACGCCTCGCCCGAGCGTGTGCTCAGGTGTCAATTTCACCTGTCGATAGCGTGCATGCTGATGACGTAACACAGGCAGTTAATGTTTGTTTCAAATAACGTCCCACTACCCCTTATTTTTCTAAGTTTTTGGTATTTTCATCAGTAAAAACACATTTTAGAGCATGTCTCAAATTTATTCCCTCGGTCTACGTTAGGTAGATGTTTCTTGAAGTGATATTTGTTATTTAAGTAACTGTAATACCTCTGAATATTAAATATAAGTCAAAAAGCATTTTTCTAGCATTTCCGACATTACTTTAACACTTGCACTGTTTAACTAACTCACTGGTAAGATAGCTTGGGGGCTTTTGTTAAGGTTAAGTGATCTGTGTCAGGTTCAATCTCTGCATTGGCCTGTTGTCAAGGTTCCTATTGTTTCATAGATTTCAGCTTCTCGTCATATTTAAAGCTTTCTACTGCCTTTCATTTGTGACAGTATACATTTTCTCCTTGAGACCACAGTACCTGCACAGCACCAGCACATTATGGGGTAAGTTAAGTTAGATCTTTTAGTATTACAAGTATAATAGAGCTATTAGGATTTAGTGTATTAGATTACATGTTTTAAGGAATAGTGTTTTATCATATTTAGTGAATGTAAGGTGTTTGTCTATAAATATATGCATGCTTAGTATTTTAGACAAATATATGATGTATTGTGTACCAGTACTCTAGTATACTGGCGTGGGTTTATTCGAACAGTAGGGTATTTTATACTACCATGATGCTGTAATTTGTACCATGCATATGTAGTATGTATAAGTATATGTATTAGCTATTTTATGATTGGCATGATACAATAATGTGTATCATGCATGTTTATTATATGGTTTGGTTTCTATATGCATATTGATGTATGTATTGAATGGTCAATAAGATAACTATTTATGTGTTCGCTAATATCATTTATGATGTATATCTGTATATACTAGCAGTATACTTAGGCAATACTTTGTTTATTTAGGTTCACTTAGAATCAGATGTTTAATTAGCTGTTCCCTGAGACGAGGTGAGGTATTGTTTTCAGAATGTGATTGTAAATATTAGTAATTATAATTGTTATATATGTGAGTAATAATCAGAGTACATGTCTTTGCTTAAATCTGGATGATTGGCAGTTATCAGGTGTATTAATAGTATAGTGGTAACCATATTCAATGTTTAACATGATACGTATTTCAGGACAAGAGACATGTATTAATTGATGGATATTTTATTATTCAGGGCGTTTTGTTCTAGTTCAGCCAACTTGGGATCTCCTTATCCCACGTCACCAGCGCCAAATAAATCCCTGAAAACCCACACAAGTGTTCGTCTTCATTGAACCAACATACAGTGTATACGAATACCTCTGTTACATAATCAAGCAGGACCAGGTTTTATCTAGGTAAGGATTACTTCCCTTAGTTATTAAAAATGTTATCGCAGGGAATCTGTAACACATCACTAAGTGACGGAGGAAAAGACTAACACAACCCTGAGGGAATGTTTACGCCTATAAAATAGCTCAGTTCATTTCCTGTTTTGCCTTTATCTGTGTCTCAAATACACAATTTTCAGCTCATCCAGCACACTAACAACTTCCCTCGTATCACTCTGTTCATCAGGTTCATTCCATTCTGAAGCAAAAGGTATTGTTGCCCGTCTGTCAGGGAAAATTTCATCCATACATGTTAACATGGCTGAGATAGAAGATGTAGGGTATGCATGCAGCTGACATGAGATTCAAGGCCATCGGGCATCAGCTTGGTTACTACCATGCTATCACCAATAGGCTTAACTGTAAACACCAAGAAACAGATGCTGTCAAGGATTGAACATTGTCAGTGTATCCCAGGAACACCACTTAAGTGGAAGTATGTAATCATCTCAAGGCTTTTGCTGACTTGACTCATGAACATCAAAGGCAAAGTCTGCAGTGGTGTTCGAATCTTTGATCCTGGAAACAGATCAATTGGCAGGACAAAAGTAAGTTCCTGTTTTTTGTTACACGGAGCCGGCTAGATCGACTCCGCTCCCGTCACCTGAAGCCCTTGGCCCCCGAGGGGACCGGCCTCCTACATACGCCAGGGCGTGATAACCGCTTTTTCCAGTCAGAGCAGCAGTAGTATATACAATGGGGGTACGAAATCACTTTCAACAAAAGCCTCTGCAAAGCCTTATTTCACAAATAAGGCTTTTGTCAGGCCCTTAGATCTCGCCCCATTACCCCTACTATTATAAAAAAGTTTGAGACACCAGCGGGATACGAACTCCACATGTATACCTCACAGCCGCGCCACTCAACCGACTGAGCTTCCGGGGACTTAGCTCAAGTGTGTCGGTTTAACAGGTCTATCCTGGGATAGCTCCACGCGGCACTATGTCACGTTTACCTCGATGAAACAGTTTAATGTGAATCGCCTATGATCTCTTTGGTGTTTGTAATAAAGGCTTGCTGGACTTTTTTCACCCCTTGTGCTATGTACTTTTTTTTCTCGTCCTCACTGATAGCAGACTTACGAGACTTGGATCGAATCTCTTGTTTCATTTTGTTATATTTTGTGAGTTCAGATAGAATTGAAAGAAATTCCTCCTCTGAGATCTTACTGTCAGTGAGTGCCGTGGATATACGCTCACTTACTGTGTTCAGCTTTGCTTCGGCCAGAACCCTGATCTCGTCGTGTTTCAACGCCTTACGATGCAGTCTGCATGATGCAAACTTAAGCACCAACCCTGCCACCCCTACCACCCCAGCTGTTATTTCAATGTCTAGCACTACGGGGGTAGCCACGATGGTGGCTAACAACCCAACACCTGCCGCCCCCTAGCCCCATGCTGGTTGTCAT